GAAGGTAAATCTGCTTTTTGTCCGACACTTTACATATCAAAACAAAGGAAATTTGTTCCTCTTTTTGATTCTGGCGGTACATTTTTAATTTGCGCCTGCGTAAAAGAGATATCGTCCGAGACCCTTCGCTCGGTCGTGTTTTGATCAAAAACGCCTTGTTAATTTCACGCAACCGCTCGGAGAAAAGGTAAAAATGACGAGGGAAAAACTTTACCGTCAAGTTAGAAAATTAGCGAAATAGAAAGCTACAATATTATAGTTTAATATTTCAGAGGTACATTGAGTGCTTTTTCCGTAGAGAATCCGCACGATGGTAAAACATTCGAAAATTACACTCGATTTGAGTGGGGTGTTGAAGTGGGCGTGGTCACTACATTCATGTTAAGACTATTTGTACCCCATGAGTTTGATATGGTCTGACGTGTAACGTAAACATGTTAGAGTCAAATTTGCTTTTGAAAATTGATGAGAACGGAATTCGAAAGTGAAATGGTCTGAAACGGAAAGACTTCGGAAATGTCCCTCAAGCTGAGCTTTTGGAACCAATTTGTTTTCTTTGCTGCATTGTTAATAGTGAACGTAGTTTTCTTGTACGATTTAAAGATGCAATAAGTATTAGAAAATAAGCGTCTGTCATGATATTCTAGCTTTCGGTCCGTCGGATTTTAAATTGGAAATGTAAGAAAGGGAATTTGGAATGTGGAGTCTGAACTGGGAATTAAGTATAAGGGGGGGCCAAGAAAGTCAGTTTCACAGCTAAGTCTTCATGCAGGCTGCAGTTGTTGCATATAATATTTGTTTAGCTTTACGGCATTCAAACTAATCTGGAAAAAAATATATTTAAGAGCAGTGTAATTTACCTCCAGTATAATTGCTTGCTGCACGTGCATGTATTTGTACATGAAGCAATTCATCGTACTAAACTCAACATTTACCTCAACAACCTACATGTACTTATTAAAACATTTCATAATATTAACACTGAAGTCCAACCCTCTAACGTCTAAAATGTACCGACCAAATAATCAATATACATTTAAAAGCCAGATGGAAGATTTTCACCCGTTTATTAACCCTTAATGTGTCTTCCTTTGTTACTCTTAAATCCCTTGGAGTGGCTGGCTTCTAATTTGTCCTAACAGTATCACCCTTGAATCAAGTAGAAGGGTTGTGGGAATAACAGAAATAATCACCAATTTAAGAAGCCGACCTGATTGTCACACAAATTCTCCTTGTCATTACCACAGGAAATGTAGAGAGATCAGTGTCAGTGGAGAATATGAACACGAATGTTAGGGTGTAAAGGATTAAAGGTTCTATTATTATAATATTACTCCTGTCGTTGCACAATGAAAATGTTTTTCTTTCTGTACTTTAAACTGTTAATAGTAAACAAGGTTGTCTAAATTGCACGTTATTATTATCACAACTTTTCTTTACTTAATGTTATGTAACTTAATCTATTGATGTATATACAAGTAGAAACTAGAATTTACTTTTCTAATAATTGACAAGTAAGACCCCCCTGTTTACCTTTTCTTTTTCTTGTTTGTATACACCCCGCGGTGTAACCACCCTTCAGCTTTTCTCTTCCTTCTTTGCATACGTCCCACGGTGTAAGCCCCCCTCCTGCTTTTTCTTTTTGTTGTTTGTATACGTTCCCTTGTGTAAGTTCCCCCACATTGGAGATCTTTCCAATGCTGGTGGGAACCCTACCTTTCCCGCCTGGGACTTACAGGTAATCCTGACTGGGATCCTGCCTTGCACCCAGCAATCCAGGTGAGATTAGCGGAATCCCATCTGTCACACCTGGGTCTTAAGGTCATCCCAACTGTGATCCTGCCTCCCACCAGGTATTCCAGGTGGGAAAAGTGGGATGCCATCTGGGACTTACATGTTTCTCTCTAAAAAGGTTTTAACTGTTGAACTTCAAATTGGAAATAGGAACTTTTAAACCACAGTTTGCAGTGGAAAAGTGCATTTTGGGCTATGAATATACCAAATTTCAACCTCGGCTATAACTGTACTCCTGGGCATGCTTAGCAATTACGGTACTTTCAAAAATAACCATTTATTTCCAGGTTTTTCTATTAGAGAAAAAGGAATTGCTTTTAAATGTTATGGTGGAGACTTGGAGCATAATATGGAATGAAAAAAGGCATTCATATAGCTCTTATTACAATTATCATTGCGCACAAAGCAATTAGATACAAACTAGGAATGATTTGGTGAGTGCAAGAGGTTGAACTTTAGAAGGAAATTGGAATATTTTAGACCACAACTCGAAGTGTGATCATATGAGCCAAAAGCACATCAGCCAGCAAATGCACCAAATGTGAACTATTCAAAGGTCACCATTCATTTCAGAATTTTCTGAGTGACTGATAGGCTATAGAGGAGTACAAGCTTGCTTGTGGTTTAAGCGAATTTTATGCCCAGTATGCTGTATACAAGTCTCACAAACTTTCAGAATTGTCCATGTGGGCCGTTACTTGGGATTTTGTATAGGATGCGTAATCCATCATCCCACTTGTAGACAGTAGATCCCAGGAAGAAAGGGTAGGATACATATACGTTATTCGCCAGCGGGGAGTTCCTTATTGGGAAAAACTGTGCCCGAGGTCTTGAATACCGCCCGGGCTGTAAGCCGAGGACAGTACTCAAGACAGAGGGCACAGTTTTTCCCGATACGGATCAAATTAGGCTGGTGAAGAACATTTTTGTTTTTTTTTTTAAATTCACGAAATTCCTGCCAATATAACCCGAATGATTTAGGGCCGTAATTACGGCGAGATCCCTCTTAAACTGAACAATTTCTGAGAGAGTAAATGGTAGTTAAAACAGAGATAATTCAAATTAAAGAGAGAGACCTCACCGAAATATTTTTATTTGCGTGGTGATAAAGGTGATTTAAAAGGCTTTCAAACAAACTTTAAAACATAATTTTTACAAGTATCTCTCACCTGTCAACTAGAGAGCGCGTAAGAAAAATAAGCATATGTACATTTTTGAAAGAAAAAACAAGAGTACGGGTTTGGTAAACAAACTCAAGTTCAATGACTGTCACGACGACTTTTCCTTCAAAACCATTTAATGATGTTACGGAAAGTATTATTCACTTCCATCGATGATTAGTATACGAATACCTTTGTAAACTACAAGGAAAGTAACTGTAAGTAAACTCAAATGTATGTTTGGAAGTTGTGGGAGTTTCCTCGTTTGTTTGCTGCACTGGCGCGTGTAAATCCGGTCTTTTTCCACCAAATAACTAAAGTGAAATGAGACATTTTAACTAGCCCAAGGGGAAAATAGTGATGCGGCTTTTTCTCATTTAATTTATTGGGTTTTTGCGGTGTAATTTATGGAGCAAATGGCCAAATTGAAGAGGTCGACTTGAAAAGACTTACCGAAAGCGTATTTGAAGTAGGACTTAAAACTTCGCCACAGCGAAAAAATTGTTTGAGAGAATTCAGATATTAAATGAATGAAAGTCCCATCGATTGATTCGATAAACATCTCACAGTTTTAACTTTCTGAGTTACTTTTTGTGAAGGATTAGATTTAGTTGAAAACTGATTTCAGGCCCCGAGTCAACTCATGTAATGACACATTTGCTACCACAAATTCGTTTCGAAAACAATTTTCTGCCAGCAACCAAAACGCTTTGAGAGTAAAAAAAGAGACGATTAATAAGTTATTAATCAGTTTGATTCGCTTAAAAAGACTTTGTTTGAAAATATTGCCCAGCCGGAAAAGCAAAATTTATATCTGAAGAATGGCAACGGAGGTAGGGATGTTCTCGATTGGATTGGTGGAATCCCACTTGGGACTGGTGGGATTTGGCCTCCTGTTTTTACTTGGAGCACAAAGAACAAAATGTTTTTAGACAGTTTACTGTTAACTGCATCTGTTGGATAGATATCCACTTTTCCCTTCTAGGACTTTATGAACAAACAAATGCTATGGCCCTTCTTCGGTTAATACAGCTAAAAGCTAGCAGTCTTTCATTATGAATTGAAATTTAAAATGAAGAATTTGATCAACTTGGATGAATGTGTTTAAAATTAGGAAATATCGCTTGGGGAATATACTGCCGCGTGTAATCCATCGCATAATTTTTCTGGTGTGCGACTGGTTTAAAAGCATCACTCGATTGCACATGTCTGAGCTAAAGCTGGGGCATATCCCAGGATACCCCAGCTGATATTCCTCACTTTTCGAACCTTACGCATACTATGAGAAATGTGTTCGTTTGAAATTTAATTCCAGGTAAGGGAGTGATTAGCTATTGTTAAGAAAAAGGGAAATGTTTGTTTGCTCATGAAGTCGTACCAGACAACACTGAAAAGTAACCATTCCTTGCGCAGAGAATACTTAATCATTCGTTATCATTTTTCCCTGGTAAAAATATTTCAAGGATAATAAAGACAATAGCCTTCATTCGTCACGAAAATATGCTAGTACATTTGTCCTTGGGTATTATCAGTTCTTCAAAGCTAACAGTTTCTCTTAAGCTTTCCTCTCGGAAACCTTTTCTCATTTCAGAACAAATAATGTTCTGTTTTCCTCTCGTTTTTTAACTGAACATGTTTAATCTCATGATGATTTGAGACCAATTAAGGGTGAACAAATACATTTGGTAGATGATGATGAACAATAGTTGACAGAGCAGCGAGGTAGGCTGCTGCACAACTCCCCCTCCGAAAAAAAGAAACGGAAAAAAAGAAGAGAAAAGAAGAAGAAAAAAAGATAAAGTGAAATGTAATAAAATTTAAAAATGGCTCCTGAGGTTTGGTGCACAAGTTATATAGGTGGCACAATTTTTTTTGAATGACAATTCTCTCTAAATACATAAGGTATACGCAGAAATTTCAGACAAGTTTTTAATGTCTCTTCCTAAGTCAGGTTTACCTTCTGCAAGTCATCAAATCATTTGGTACATTAGCATTAAAAATTATTTCTCTTATTTCCCTTCTCAGGTACTGATACTTCATGGAATGATGTTTGATACGTGTAAACCGGTTATCAAGTTCCAAACTGCTCTTGGAGGAGTTCAGTGCATTTTGTTTGCTGCATCGCTGGGTTCCATTCTTAGCACTCTGCAAAAGTATCATGACAGTGATAGACTTAACTTCAACTGCGATCCCAAACCTAGTGATTTTATCAGACAACGTTGCTATAACAGCTACATTTCCACAGTTACCAAGCCTCATGGATTAATACCTCGGAATGTTGTTGCCATAACACTCGGTGTTTTGTGTGCATGCTGGATCAGCTTTGCAATTTATGGTGCTGTGACCTTTCGAAAAAGAGCAGGAGACAGAAAAGACACAAAAACATTTCTTTGCACCTACCTCATCCATGTATTCTTTCGAATATTGTTCCTGGGTGTTATGGTAGGGCTGGTCTGCAGTTACCAGACAATTTCTTTACCTTCCGTTTTTGAGTGTCATGTTAATCAGATCTTGCAGACCAACAGTCAAACTACGCCAAGTCCTCTCAACCAGACAAAACTAACATTGCAATGTAATGATCTTCATCACAAGGAGAAATCGAACCTAAATATAGCTTTTATCTCTGTTGGTGCCTTTTTTATGGTGTTTAGTGTATGGGAAGTCCTACACTTGTGCCGTAACAGGAAAAACTATCTGGAAAAGTTGGTTGGAGGCCCTGAAGACATTGAGTTACTGCAAGGTAAGTGAATATTTTATAGTTTAGCTGCTTGCAAATTACCATAGCCAATTTATAGGGGGAAGGGGGAAGGGGTGGTGTTTGTTATTATATTACACTTCATAATTCTAAACAACCTATTTGGGAGAGAGTCTCATTGGTACTGTTTGGTTCACACGGTCAAATTCATAATATGGGAAGAAATTTCGACGCAGTTGCGTTCACTCATGGAAATAGAGTGAAGCTTTAAGCGCTCGCCTAATAACTGCCGTGCCGCCAAGTGACCTTTACCCCGCCGCGTTAACAACGCGTTAACAACTGGGTGCGACCACTAAATCTAAGGCCTGGAATGAGAAATGGGAGGTCTGATCTTTTTATTGTGAAGGAGGTCACAAGTATACTACACAGAACTTTACTTGTATCTGTAATACTCGTTTGACTCTTTACTACCTTTTCGTACGCAACCATTGACATCTGTTTACTCACTCGTGGGTAACATATTTTGAAAGATGTCCCGTTTTGGTGGTCACATAATTTTGGGACGGTTACCCATCAACCACTGGGTCGGGTTATACCGACTCCGACTGTGTATAAATCGACTGAGTGCGAAACTTCCACGGGTATGACAGACTAAAGAAAAAGTTTTATAGATCATCTATGTATGCGTATATGAAACCAAAATTATTTGAAACGTACATTTCGAGGTTATCATGTTTTTGATCTGACATGTTAAGACCCGTTGCATTCGTATTACTTGTTGAAGTGATGGGATTGACATATATTCGTGTTTTAGTTACAACAAGTATTTCACATTTATCAGAGACAAAGTTTTAAAGAAGGATCATTTTGAACAGGTTTACCTGAGAAACCAACCATCACAAATACAGAAACAGAAGTTGACGAGGACTTCATTATTACCTGGTCAGAAGCTGAGGCCAACAGCAGTAATTACAGCGTTAAATACCGTCTGGAATGGAGGAAACAGCCCATGAAAGGATCTACAGACATTATTCAACGAGAAAATACTGAGGGAAATCACTTCAAGATAACTGGTCTTAAGTATAACGCAGAGTATGAAGTGAAACTGTTTGCTGTTAACGAACAAGGAGACCGTGAGCCAGATGTCAGAACATTTAAGACAAAGAGTGGTATGTACCTTTAATTAATACTTCTCGCTTTACTTTTAGAAGAACTGTTTGAAATGAAATTGTAAAAGATACTAATACTATAACTAATAATATAAAAAGCAACAACTGGCGCCTGTAAATGTTCCATTGACCCCTTTTCAGCAAGGAATAGAACATGTTGAAAAGAAGCAACGAGGAATGCTTCTGATAGCTTTACTGTCTCTCCTTGACAACCGCACAGCTTCTACTCGGGGCCTTTACACCAGCCCAGTACTGTGGCTCATGAGGCGATTAAATGTGCTGGCCGAGAAGTATCTTTTACCCCTCGTAGTTTAAAATGAAAGATGTCGTTAGGATGAGCCTATTACCAGGCTGCATCCAACAATAATAATTACTGAAGAATCAATTAGTGGCAGATGTTGGAATTTGAAGCTATGAGGTGGTTCCAGAAGATGTGAGGAAATTTCGACGCAGTTCCGTTCACTCGTGGAAATGAAGCAAAGCTTTAAGCTCACGCCTAACTAGGTGCCGCCATTTGACTTTTGCCCTGCAGAGTTAACTACCCGACTCTGCATACTGCTGGGAACGTCCACCAAATCTATGGCCTAGAATCAGTAATGCGGGGTCTGATCTCTTATTATTGTTGAGAGGGTCACAAGTATACATCACAGAACTTAACTTGTATCTGTAATACTCGTATGACTCTCTACTAACTTTCCGTATGCAAAAATCGATATCAGGTTGCTCATTCGTGGGTGACATGTTTTCTTTTTGAGATCTCCTAGGATTTGGTGATTTGGTGGTACCACTGGGTCGGGTACGAACGACTCCAACTGGGTAGAAATCGACTGAGTGCGAAACGTACACGAGAATGACAACCTAGAGAACAGTCTTGAAGATCCTCTATGTATGCTTATATGAGACCAAAACTATTGAAAACGTACATTCCGAGGTTATCATGTTTTTGATCTGACATGTTAAGACCCGTTGCATTCGTATTACTTGTTGAAGTGATTGGATTGACATGTATTCGTGTTTTAGTCACAATAAGTATTTCACATTTATCAGAGAAAAAGTTTTAAAGAAGGATCATTTTGAACAGGTTTACCTGAGAAACCAACCATCACAAGTACAGAAACAGAAGTTGACGAGGACTTCATTATTACCTGGTCAGAAGCTGAGACCAACAGCAGTAATTGCAGCGTTAAATACCGTCTGGAATGGAGGAAACAGCCCATGAAAGGATCTACAGACATGATTCAACGAGCAAATACTGAGGGAGATCACTTCAAGATAACTGGTCTTAAGTATAACGCAGAGTATGAAGTGAAACTGTTTGCTGTTAACGAACAAGGAGACCGTGAGCCAGATGTCAGAACATTTAAGACAAAGAGTGGTATGTACCTTTAATTAATACTTCTCGCTTTACTATTAGAAGAACTGTTTGAAATGAAATTGTAAAAGATACTAATACTATAACTAATAATATAAAAAGCAACAACTGGCGCTTGTAAATGTTCCATTGACCCCTTTTCAGCAAGAAATAGAACATGTTGAAAAGAAACTACGAGGAATGCTTCTGATAGCTTTACTGTCTCTCCTTGACAACCGCACAGCTTCTACTCGGGGCCTTTACACCAGCCCAGTACTGTGGCTCATGAGGCGATTAAATGTGCTGGCCGAGAAGTATCTTTTACCCCTCGTAGTTTAAAATGAAAGATGTCGTTAGGATGAGCCTATTACCAGGCTGCATCCAACAATAATAATTACTGAAGAATCAATTAGTGGCAGATGTTGGAATTTGAAGCTATGAGGTGGTTCCAGAAGATGTGAGGAAATTTCGACGCAGTTCCGTTCACTCGTGGAAATGAAGCAAAGCTTTAAGCTCACGCCTAACTAGGTGCCGCCATTTGACTTTTGCCCTGCAGAGTTAACTACCCGACTCTGCATCCTGCTGGGAACGTCCACCAAATCTATGGCCTAGAATCAGTTATGCGGGGTCTGATCTTTGTATTGTTAAGAGGGTCACAAGTATACATCACAGAACTTAACTTGTATCTGTAATACTCATATGACTCTCTACTAACTTTCCGTATGCAACAATCGATATCAGGTTGCTCATTCGTGGGTGACCTGTTTTCTTTTTGAGATCTCCTAGGATTTGGTGATTTGGTGGTACCACTGGGTCGGGTACGAACGACTCCAACTGGGTAGAAATCGACTGAGTGCGAAACGTACACGAAAATGACAACCTAGAGAACAGTCTTGAAGATCCTCTATGCATGCTTATATGAGACCAAAATTATTGAAAACGTACATTTCGAGGTTATCATGTTTTTGATTTGACATGTTAAGACCCGTTGCATTCATATTATTTGTTGAAATGATTAAATTGACATATCTACGTGCTTTAGTTAGTTAAAAATAAGTATTTCACATTTATCGGAGACAAAGTTTAAGAGAAGCATGATTTTGAACAGGTTTACCTGAGAAACCAACCATCACAAATACAGAAACAGAAGTTGACGAGGACTTCATTATTACCTGGTCAGAAGCTGAGACCAACAGCAGTAATTGCAGCATTAAATACCGTCTGGAATGGAGGAAAAAGCCCATGAAATGATCTACAGACATGATTCAACGAGCAAATACTGATGGAAATCACTTCACGATAAGTGGTCTTGAGTATGACGCAGAGTATGAAGTGAAACTGTTCGCTGTCAACGAACAAGGAGACAGTGAGCCAGATGTCAGAACATTTAAGACAAAGAGTGGTATGTACCTTTATTTAAGACTTCTCACTTAACAATTGGTAGAATTGTTTAAAATAAAATAAATACTGTTGGGTCCTAAATACAGGTGTAACACTTTTTTCATAAGGTAAAGGATTGTGAAACTTTTTGACAACAGGTTTAATACTCATGCTGCAGCTCTCACGTAAGAAAAAATAATTATTTGTCCAAAATTTTTTTACTATATCGTCAATTTTTATTTGGTCGCAAATTACATTATGACTTGTTATTAATTTTTGATGCTAGAAAGAGTTGTTCATCAATGTTTTTTTTAACCTTCCTTATTATATCAATATATTTAATTTTATTTATTTGGTATTGATTACCAGTGAACCATTTGGAAATGTATGCCCCTGAAAAAAAATAATTCAGTGATCACTGTATGGAATGAAAAATTTCGTGTCTTTGAAGTTTGATCCACATATTGGACCCAAATTTGCTTTCTTCTATTCCCACTTCTTATTTCTGTCTCAATCACTATATACTTGTTGTTGTCGTTGATGCTGCGGTTCTTTGCCTGAATAATTGATTTTATCAGGGAGAGTTTAATTGATAACTTGCAGATCAAGAAACATACTTCTTCCTAACGTTTTTGCATTCTTTGCCACTGAGTACCATTCTTCTTGTGCGACTTTAGGTCTCAAATTAAATTAAAGTCTACCTTTTCGGTGACTTGGCTGTTGCGGGCGCTTTATAGGCAAGTGTTGGGAGGGGATTAGGTAATTTTTGATTGAGGAAGGGGGGGGGGGTGTCAAAAATTACTTCTCGATCTACCCTCTCCCATGCCCTCCCTGCCATCCTATCGAGCTTACTTGGGACATTCGGATTCGCAACTGTTTTGCTAGCTCGACTTTCGCTCCAAACTAGATAAGACTGGAGACGATTGTCACAAAAATCGTCGTGTTTCGACATATGATACAATAAATCTTTCTCTAAGGGTCTAGGACTGCTCTTATTCCATTAAAAAGGAACTGAAATGACATCATCATCCTCATCATATTTTTATTTGCCTCATTTACACAATACAAAAAAAATTCATTTACAGCGGTTAGAGCTAGAAGGCAAGGAGACCCAGGAAGCCACCGGGCTTATGGGAGAGCCACCTCACTTACATTAATAAAAAAAAGTAAAGAAAAAGTGCTGCGAATGTGCGGCTAGGCCAATTCAAGGATTATTTAAGTAAAAACTCTTGCATTTTCGTCTTAAAACTTAGAAGTTTTGACCAACGAGTGACTGAAACAGGAAAAGAGTTCCAAATTTTAGGACCTTGGTAAAGAATTGTAAATTGCTTAAGTTTTGTACGGCACAAATGCGTTCGATAATTACTGGCTGTTCTGGTGCCATAGTTGTGAATTTGGCTATTCGTTACAAAAAGATTGAGAAGAAATGGAGGCAATAAGTTATTTCTATAATAAAGCATGAATTTGGCGATTTCAAACGTATTGACTTGGAAAATATCTAAAATTCCTTGTTTGGAGAATAAAGGAGCGGAATGGGTTCGATAGTCTGAGTTGGTGATAGCCCGCACAGCTCGCTTTTACAAGTAATAAATTCTATTTAAGTTAGATACGTATGTGGACGACCAGGCACAGTTACAATAGACGATATAAGGATAAATTAAGGTGTAGTATAAAGTGAGCTTGGTTGTAGAGGATAGAAAAAAGCGAGACCTGAGTATAATACCTACTGATTTAGCGATTTGTTTACATACATAGCTGATATGGTGTTTCCAAGTGAGATGATCATCAATTTAGACCCAAGGAATTTCGTCATGTTAGATTGTTGTAGGGGTTTACCTCCAAAGGAGAGAGAAATGCTGGAGTTAAATTTCTTCTGTCTGGGTTCAAAAATTACGTTGTTAGTTTTCCTTATATTAACTGAGAGCTTATTGCATTTTAGCCAGACATCAATACTTTGGAGTTCATCATTAGGTACGGATTCTAAGCAACTTTGGTTTGAGTGAGAATAAAAGATACTGGTGTCATAAGCGAAAAGCAGAGGGTCTGTTAATTCAGAAGCATTGGGGAGATCATTTATGTATAGAATGAACAATAGAGGGCCTAAAATCGAACCTTGAGGGACACCACACTTGATGGTTTGCATAGGAGAGCAAGCTTGATTGAATTGGGCAAATTGCTGGCGGCAAGAAAAGTAGCTTTTGAACCACTGCAGAGCCACGTCACGGATACCATAGTGCTCCAATTTTGCAAACAAGATATGATGGTCGAGAGTGTCAAATGCTTTGGAAAGATCTAGGAAAACACCCACCGTTGTTTCGTGTTGGTCGATTGCAGAAGCTGTTTTAATTACCAAATGAATTAGTGCGTGCGATGTCCAGTGATTTTTCCGAAATCCAAACTGACAGCGGTAAAGTATATCGTGTTTTTCGGCAAATTCTACCAAGCGATTGTACATGACTTTTTCGAAAAATTTGGAAAAATTAGACAACAAAGAAATAGGTCTGTAGTTTACAAAAAAGTTAGGATCCTCTGCTTTGAAGATGGGAATAATTTTAGCGATTTTAAGTTTGTCCGGGAAAATGCCTTTTAGCAGAGATAGATTGATAATATATGCCAATGGAGCAGTAATAAGGTGAAATGAATATTTAATGACATGCATTGGGATACTGTCATAGCCAGGAGCCTTCTTTGAAGCGAACATGCCACAAATGCTTTCCAGTTCACTTGTTGTGATGGGCTTTAAGTTTAGGGAGGGACGGATATTATCACCAAGATAAGAACGAAAAGAAGGATTCAACTTGGGTATAGATTTAGCTAGGTTGGGACCAATGTTTGTAAAGTATTTACAGAATCTGTCAGCGATCTCCATTGGATCCGTTAATGTTCTGCCTTCAGATTTGAATGATGTGGGAAGAGATGACTTACTTTTACGCTTGTTAATAACTTCATTTAACAATTTCCAAGTTGTTTTGAGGTCATTTCTGGCATTCTCAAATTTGGAGTCGTAGTATTTACGTTTGGCAATGCGAATAAGATGGGTGAGTTTGTTTTTGTAGGCTTTATACTTCGTCTCAGAAGATGTGGAAGATGATGTGACGAACTTTTTGTAGAGTCTATTCTTCTAGTTAACGGATTTCAGAAGTCCACGGCTAAGCCATGGAGAAAAGAACTTGTTTACCTGCTTACCTTTGAGAACCTTTAAAGGGAAACAGGTGTTATAGATTCTGGAGTATCCTTCAATAAAATCATTATAGGCTTCATTGGGATCTTCCATGTGGCGAAATAAGGACCATCGTAATAAGGACATCGTAAGGATAAGAAAGGTTTTGTTTGCTTGTATCTTTAGCTACATGTGGATCAACCCACAAAGTTGAGTAAACTTAGACTTTGAGCAAAAGAAAAACGGCGTATAAAACAGAAATTTACGGATTTTAAAGTATTCAGATGCAAAGATCTTACTTTAAACTCCGCATTACAAATCTCCGAAGTCGTAACCAAACCGGAACGCCGTTTAAGTTATAGATTGGTGTTTAAAAGATAAAAAGAATTCAGACCAAAACGTCCCGGACTGGTCACGAATACGTAAAGAAGCTTGTTTAGTGCAAACCTAGCCCTAGATCTGTTGCTTTTGAGAGGCCCTCGTCTGCTCGGTGAAGAAAATTGACCTATTTTTAAACCAAGGCGATCTTATGTAGTTGAGTCCTTCCCACATCATAGTTTAATTATTATCACTTGAATTTCATATCTATTCTGTAATTAGCCACCGGAGTTTTTTCAGTGTAAACGTTGGAGTGTTGGAGATTTCAACATCTTTCACGGCTGTAGGTGACTTATCAGTCAAGCGTTCTAAATGATACGTCGCGCGACCCTTGTCAAACTATTCTGATAGCACTACACTCCCCTTTCAAGGATAACTTTTCATGTGACTCAGTGATGTTGTTACCAACATTGACAAGGGGAGGGAGGGGAGGGAGGGGAGGGAGAGATTTGTTAACGATTATGACGAATTATAACCCAACCATAAATATTCGTGCAATTTTATAGGAAAATTCATTACCTGAGAGTGAATTCCGCATTAAATAGCACGCGAAAACCGATATCGCACAAATTGCTAAGCGACGAGTGCGATATCAGTGTTCAATCGCATAATTGAATTCAATCGCTTAATTGAATAAAATTAGGAAGAAATGATAATGGTGATGATATTGTTTGTTTTTATCCTGAGCGCGCGCCCCAGAAAGCCATTTCATTGCCTTAGCGAATAGGACGCAAGGTCCGTCGTAAAACGTGTCAATCTTCGACAACTTTATTTGTACCTTGTGCTTGTTTTTACATTTGTTTTCAAGCTTCACACTATCTTAAGGACAATAGTGGTATTTCACTGAATTTACATGCCGTTTATCTTTAACATCTTCTTTCAAACTTCCAAATCATTTGCTCGAGAAGGAAAATAATTTACACCTTTTACCTCTTTGGTGGCAAAACTGAAAGAAATAACGTGTGCCAGCGAAAGCACTGAAAGTTTAACATCGCGATTAAAGGTATTTATTTCTTCTTCTTTGTATATGACAATCGACCCTGGCACTTCTTTTGCTTGCCATTTTCTGGGCCGTTTTCACAATATTTTCTCGCTTTCTCGTTGTCGCGGGCGAAAGAGGTTTTTTTATGCCTCTCCTTGAATTCGTAGTTCATTTCAAAAAGGTTCCTTGTTCTGTAGTGCTCTTAAAAACAAGGAATGTTAGGAAGGTGAGAATCTCGAGTGACGCGACCACTTACCTCTCTTCGCTCTAAGAAAAGCGAGTCAAGATAAGGGGGCCTTAGACCAGACATACATTTGAATGCAAACACGGCATCGCGATAGTACAGCTGCGATTTGACTGGAAGCCAGCGTAAATCTTTTAAGATTGGGGTCACGTTATTGAACCTCCTGGTGTTGCTGATGATCCGGGCGGCGAAGTTCTGTACAGCCTGAAGCTTAAGTAGATTTGTAGTTGCTGCATTCGACCAAATGGATGAACAATAAAACATTTACTGAATACGAGGGCATTCATTAATTATTGTCGTTAGAGTATTTCTTTCAATCATATGCCTAAACGACTGATTTGAGCAAGGCCTGGCATACGGGACAAAACAGCTTTAAGGATTAAAACAATCTCTCAACCGTGGACATTGTTAGCTGACATACTAGCCGCCCGAGAGGGTTTATTCACTTAACATATATACTTAATTTTTGAGTTAGGAAGAACGTTTCTATGGACATGCTTAAGCGGCCAACATAAGCGTGCAGGCGTGATGAACACACCTTAAATCTAGTGTCAAAAGACACTACCTTTAGTATTTTATGAATTATTTTACTTTCAATAATACTAAATAGGGTTCACTGGCGCGCTACGCGGTAGAGTTATCAAATCCACCTGCCTGCAGTAAGGACAGAAGTTGCCAAAAGATCCTTTTTGTCATCATGACAGCAATGTATATAATAATTTCAGTTCACGTAATATTTATCTCAATTGTCTTTTTTGAGCAATTAATTTTTTTTATGTGTTAAACATTTTCATAGATACTTCTGATATATTTGTCATCAGAAGATGTTTAAATTCAGGGATCTTACTGATAGAAGGATACTCTACTTTAAGGCTTCTGACAGGACTACCCTAAGTTTTAGTATTGGTTATTTTTAAATAAATGTGTCTATTTGATTATCTATCTATCTCGAAAGAAACAATCTTCTTTATCCTTTGAATAAGGATGGATTTGTTACCCGTTAAACACATTTGACACTTTGTAAGCACTCAGCTCTGTGTGAGTTAATCTCTCTGTGCTGTACCGATAGAACGTATTTAAACTGCATTTCTTTGTGTTCGGATTATTGATAAAATATTCCCCTTTTCTTTTTCCATAGCCATAAGTCGTTACACAACATATTTACAAGCGTCTATTATAAGCCAAACAGAGTTCCAACCCAAACTGCTTGCCTCTCGCACGATTTCCAACGCGAAAACAGACGAAATATTCACTAATCTTCTCATACAACATGGAAGAAAAGCCCTGTTCGAGAATGACGAGACGTATTCAAGGGGAGAAGAGCTTGAGTACTATGGGAAAGTCAGTGGTACTCCAGTCAAGCACTGCAGTGAAATATTTCTTGGCATGATTGATGATCAGGAAAGTGCTAATTCTATTCTTGTCGTTGGAAAAGCGGGGATTGGGAAAACCCTGTTTTGCCAAAAGGTGATACGCGATTGGGCCAAAAACGAATTACTTCGAGCACTAGAAAGCACTGAAATCCCCAATTTAAAATTTGTGTATTTGCTTACTTTCCGTCAGTTGAATTTGCTCAAGAATAAGCATTTGACTTTAAGAGAAATCTTAAATTTTTCCTCTGTACTGAATGACAAATGTAATATTAACGAATCAACATTTGAGTACATTGTAAAGCATTCCAAGGAAGTAATGATAATTCTCGACGGCTATGATGAGTATTCTCAGAAAACCAGTATCGATGGAAACTCAGAAGGACGGCATCCCAATGACGTTAGACGTAAAATGCCGGTGGCCGCACTGTGTTCTAAACTCATCAATGGAAAAATCCTGCAAGGGGCTATCGTCATGATTACCTCGCGACCTGATGAATCGGACAACATGGGAGGAATCCGTTATAAACGGTATGTGGAAATTGCTGGTTTTTCGGCAGAACAAGTCAAAGAGTACATAAAGAAATACTTCAAGAAAAACGAAAATATGAAGAACGCTGTACTTAAACATGTCATGAACAATGAGAATCTTGTCAGTTTTGCTCATATTCCTATGCTCTGTTATCTGTTGTGCTTCGAGATGGAGTATGCCCTAACCGAATCAGAAAATTCTGATGACCTTCCTGTCTCAATAACCGACATTTATACCAAACTTGTTGATATTTTTGAACTCAAGCACTGCGCCGAGTCAGAATACAGACAAAAAGAAATTCCTGAGAAGTTCAAGCCCCCTCCTGTCATCAAGAACACTTTGGAGAAATTATCAAATTAGCGGCTAAACTGCTGGTTGAAAGAAAGCCAACTTTTGATGAAAGCGAGATGGAGCGCGATTTTGAACTGGAAGAAGTCAACAAACTGAAAGGTAGCGGTCTTCTTTACTGTGGTCAGCCTTTCAGAACCGAATTGATTACAACCACGAAGCACTTTAGCTTCACACATCTGACCGTCCAAGAATTCTTGGCCGCTCGTTGGTTTATAAGGGAAAATCGTGTTCCCGATGCGAAATGCTCTGATATGGTTTACCAATTCATGGCTGGCCTTTTCTCACGTGACGCAACCGAGGAAATGATGGAAAAATTGATAGATTCACCCTTTATGCCTCCTTATCTTAGAATGAGGTGTCTTAATGAGTATCGAAACAAAGAATTCGCTAAACAGTTCTTGAGGGAGAATCCCCAAGCGTTTTGTAATTCACACGGTGTCATGGATTTAGGTTGTTACTCAGATGTAGACTGCATTACGGTATCATTTGTATTGGACATTATCAGTGAACTAAATGAAGAGGAAGCTGGAGAGGCACAACGCAAGTATACCGATAAGTTTGTCACAGTTGAGAGGTTAGGACTTTCCGGACCACATCTAACACTGTCTGGAATACAACGAATCTTTAATTCACTGATAAATGAACACTGTCTTGTGTCTGAACTTATATTATCTTACATTAACTGGAGTGTTGAACATGTTGATTTTATTAATCGATTATTGGTTGGGAAGTTAACCACACTAAGTCTGAATTATATTAAGATCACCGATACCGGTGTTGCCAGGCTATGTGAAGCTTTACAGCATCCAAGCTGTGAGCTAACCACACTAAATCTGGATTCTAGTGGGATCAATGATACCGGTGTTGCCAGTATAGGTGAAGCTTTACAGCATCCAAGCTGTAAGCTAACCACACTAAACCTGGGGTTTAGTGAGATCACTGACACCGGTGTTGTCAGTCTATGTGGAACTTTACAGTATCCAAGCTGTAAGCTAACCACACTATATCTTGAGGGTAATAACATCACTGATACCGGTATTGCCAGTCTCTCTGAAGCTTTACAGCATCCAAACTGTAAGCTAACCACTCTATGTATTTCGTTTAGAGGGATCAGCGATACCTGTGTTCCCAGTTTATGTGAAGCTTTACAGCATTCAAGCTGCAAGCTAACCGCATTAAGTATGCTCTGTAATTTGATCACTGATACCAGTGTTGCCTGTCTATGTAAAGCTTTACAGCATCTAAACTGTACGCTAACCACTCTACGTATGCAACATTGTGAGATCACTAATATCGGTGTTGCCAGTCTATGTGAAGCTTTGCAGCATCCGAGCTGTAAGCTAACCACACTAGATCTGGAGGATACTGACATCACTGATATCGGTGTTGCCAGTCTATGTGAAGCTTTACAGCATCCGAGCTGTAAGCTAACCACACTAGAACTTCCTCTGTCAGTTTATGATGATGAGATGGCAGCTAGTCTTGAAGCTATAATTCGGAGACACCGACCAGCTTTAAAGCTGTCTTTTCATTAGTTTCATTAACTTTAATAGTTTCATTACTTTTTAGTAGATTTTTATATTTAAATGAAATCAGTAGTTCCAAGTGAAATCTTAATTTGGGTCAAAGATACCAGGTAGGCAAAGTACTTTTAATCATTGGAGTGACATGCTACGCTCAATGTAAATAAAACCGCAAAGATTTTGTAATAAAGGTTTTTTTTACTGGCGACATTGTTTACTGTACTTGGTTTGTGGGTGTAGACTACTCAAGAGTTGTAACAAGTAAGACTTGGGGTCGGGGAAGGGTTGGGAGGGTAATCTTCTGTGAGGTTACCATGCGTCAAAGGAATCTATCTTTCAGGAACGTTTAGTTGAAGCTTCTCGAGGTAAGGACAAAGAGGAAAATATCTTCCCGTTCACCTGATTATGATTTCATTTTGATGAACTTACGCCCCCCTGAGTACTGCAAAGAAACGACAGTTTTCTTTTCTTATTTTCAGTAAGTAACAAATTTTCGTTTTAACTGTCCGCCATTACACTGTATCAGTCATTATAAAAATGAGTCATCCTCGTTTAAGTTGTCCAGCTTTGTTAGGTTAAGTTCCAGACGAATTACTTGTAGAGACCTCAATTGGGGTTACCGTTTAACCCAGGTTGAGCAAGAAACTCACAATTTATCGGAAGACGTGACTTATCACTCATTTTTGTCTACTGTTGCCACTCATTTTTTCGCAACAACAGCGAACAATGTTTCGTTCCCTTTTTGCAATCAAGTCTTACAAGTACACAAGGGCCGGACCGCTTTTTCACGTCGTCTTTCTCCATGGTTTTTCGGCCTTACGATTACGCACGCAGGGCCGGACGGGTCCTATAATAAATTTTACCGCAACTTGCAGGAATGCCGTTGTCGATAAGAGCACAGTCACGAACTCTGGTCACGCACTGGAAGAATCGTTTTATTCAACGTCAATATTGGGGTAACAAATATGTCGAAAGTGGTTTGGCGTGGTCAGTCCTCTAATCGAAAACGATATTTGTTAGATCTTGTTATCACTTTGCTCAAACTTTGTTGCGAACTCACGAGGCGCAGCCAAGTAAGTCCACAAGATTTTGACCACTGCGATGATGAATATCGTTGTAGATAAGAGTACAGACCAAGAGTGTCGATTTATTAAATTGAATATGGCTGATGAATTTGTTGCGACTCTTGTGGGAATAACTGTTCAATTATATTTCTTGAAATTTCAGGGTCATTGGCTTTTAGTTAAATCCGGTACCATGTATTCTGTGCAGTATATCCACGAGTTCATCATAGTGTTACTTTGATCTATCTTTTGGTGATCTGTATTTACACGTAGGAGACGGGGTCACAAGTAAAACTATTCTTGATTCAAATTATAGTTTTCTGTTTTTTACAAGAACCAAATTGAACCGCGCACTCTACGGGTATTGGGCCTGGTTACTCAGCTGTTTTTAAAAATGGCGGCGCGTAAAGTCGTATCTAAAAAGTCTTATCATATAAGTCGTATCATAAAGCCAATGAACGGAGGGTTACTCTTGGGAACGCTAATAAATATAAATTGAAGTTTCTAGTAAAAATTTTAAAATGTACGGCTTCCTTTTTTTCCCACAAAACTGGTCAACAGCAGTAGTCATTATCTGGTCATGCGCAAACTCCTTTCACGTGCGCCTGGTAGAAATTACTTTGAAAGATTTCCTGAGATATACGGACTATGATGTTTTAGCTCGAAAAATGGGTTTAGCGACACTGTTGATCCAGCGATCTGGACTTCGTCTTCTTTCTCGTAATGTAAGATTTGCAACCTTGATGTTTAGACTGTAATTTAAGTTTTTGTTAATTTTTACGAAACGAGAATCCTCAATCACGAAGAAGTGAAAAGCTTACATAATCGTACATCTTTCTCAAACAGTTAGGACTATCGTATCGGTTGTGATTTGTTAAAATCAGAAAGTTATAGAAGTTATAGAACGAGAGAATCAAAAATCGTTGATTTTAAACTGATTATTTTCGTATTTTGATTAATATGGGAAATAATGAATCTAGATTGAGTTCAATATGATATTAGGGAGTACAAGTGGCTCGTATTTGTATCCTTTGGTTAGTAATTAATCCTGAATCTTACGAACGAATGCTTTTTTTTCGTAGGTGAAGGCTCGGTTTTTTGCCTCTGAAGCAACGGTGAGTGCTCAACTTTCTCAAGGAGATCGACAGTTTTTGACTACATTGTCATCGGGGTTAAAAATGTATATATTTTATTTATTGTATTACAAGGAACAGTCTTTCAAAACTGTCGGTGAAAATGTTCCTTTGAGTTCAACAGTCAGTTATAACTTTCACAGGGTGTTCATTAACCCTCTGACTCCCAGAAGTGATTAACATGTCACTTCTCCCCATAATATCCATGCATTATCCAGCAAACAGTTAATGAGAATACTCAAACTTATCTGGTATCTTGATCAAACACCAAGTTCTTATTACTAAAGTAAAGTAATGTTGATTTTCCCCCAAATTTTCTCTTGCAAACCTACTGATTGTTTAGGAATGCCAAGCAACTCCAAAAATTATTGTGGTGTTTTAGAGGACAAATTTTCTAAGCATTTACTTAGATCCTATGAAATAGGTGAGAAATGTTTCAGAGTTGTTGAAAACCTTGCAATTTTATAGTATGCATCTGCTCTGATAATTTGTGCTCTGTAGTAAAAAGCCAAAATACAATGATGTTCATCATCACATTGCTCAAAAGTTTTTGCTGATTCACCTTGCTGGCCGGGCCACATGAGTCTGTAGCAAATTTTGACCTCTGTGATAATGAATATCATTGTCGATAAGAGTACAGATCATGCTAAACCACTTTCAATTTGGGAATTGGGCATGGCTGTGTACATTGGGCATACATGTAACATTGTCTCCTTTTTTTGACAGAAGGATGTGTCAAAAATCAGAAATATTGGTATATCTGCCCATATTGACTCTGGAAAAACCACACTCACAGAGAGACTTTTGTTTTATACTGGAAGAATCAGTCAAATGCATGAGGTGAGAACCATAGACTTTGATTTGCCTTTAGAAATGCTTTCAACATTACCAATCCTACTTTGCAGGATGCATGTCACATGTGGACCTTGTAACAATTGAGCTCACAGCAAAGTCTCTGTGACTCAGTAGTAGATCATCAAAGTGGTGAATCTGAAGGTCTGAGATTCTATTCCTCACAAGGATTCTAAATTTTTTTTTAGTTCCATGCTTATGACTTTCACTAATTGACTTTGATGTTTGTTTTAACAGTTCAAAGTTTAATTTCCATGGGTTTTGCATGATTATACAAATAATGATTTTTGCCCTGTGGTTTCCTGTTGAAATCTTTACTGCTGTTTTTTTTCCTTAATGTGTGTTATGGATCAAAATTTACTTGAAGTTTAAGTGATATCAAACTTCTGTAGGTTGATGGGAATTCTGACAAGACCAAAAAAAAAATTTTCATTTTTCACTAATGGATTTTGATACATATTGAAACAGTTCAAAGCCAATTTCCCATGGGTTTTGAGTGATTATACAAATAGTGATTTTTGCCCTGTCTCAACATGTGTTGTGGATTGAAATTTACTAAAAGTTCAAGAGGCGTCAAACTTCCATAGGTTGAAGAGAGTTCTGATAATATCTCTGAAACAAAGACTTTGTGAATATCAAGTTGATGTACAGTTTAAACCACAGCTTCTGCAATCAATTATTTCTAAATAGCAAAGGTTTGACAACTTGCAGTAATAGTATTTGATTGTGTTGTCTGATTGTCCGGGTTAGAGTAGGCCTGGAAAGGACTGCTGTCGGCAGTAAAGACTGATGATTTGACAACCTTGGTGGAAGTCACCTCTTGTGTCAAATGATTATGACTTTATGACTTCCACTTGTTATGGATAGTGACTGTAGAAATAAGTATCTTGACATTTTCTGCTAAGAATGTTTTGTCATGCTGGGAAGCATTCCATGGAACATAACAGAACATTTCATTAGGTCATGTAGTCATGATGTAATACCTGTCCACCGAAATAGTTGTGTTGTAAGTTTCCGGAATGTTCTAGAATACTTTATAAATGTCTATAAGGACTCAGTCCTGTAGTAGAAGTTGTTGTTGTTGAAAGTGAATGACTGCTTGGAAAGCTATACACAGAGAGAGAGTGCTACTGTGAAGATTGTTTAACTCAAGGATACATAATCTCACATACATAATCTCACTGTAGCTCCAAAGCATTAATACAGTAAATCTCAGGGTTTTTTAATACCTTTTTGATGAGAAACAAATTCTTTGCTCAAGAAAATGCACTGATATATCCATGCATTAGATTTGGTTGTTTGGTATTCATCCTTATTTTCTAACCAGGTGCGAGGTAAGGACAATGTAGGAGCCACTATGGATTCCATGGATCTGGAACGACAGCGAGGAATAACCATACAGGTTGGTATTAAGTAACAATACTATGATTTATTTAATAAACCACAGTTCAAATGTATGTCATTCATATAATCACAGTCATATATTGATCACTAAATGGATTTATTACAAACCAACAAAATGACCAACTCCCAGTTGGCTTGTTATAGCCTTGTAGCTCAGTTGATAGAGCATTGCACTGGTATTCCAGAGGTCATGGGTTAAAATGTAAAGGCCTGAATTTTTTACAGGTGTTGTTTTCAGTGCTGCTTTATTATTGTGAATTCAAATATATGATATTCATACACATGTAACCACAGTTGAATTTCAGCCTGGCTAGAGAGATCCTTTTTCAATCTTTTTAGAACTCCCAAGAAAGTAGAATTCAAGGTCATTTAATTTGCTGTAGTAAATAGAGAAACAAAAATCTCAGGAATATACAGTTCGGAGATTATATACATGGTTGCCATAGCAACATTGCTACATCTTTTTTAGTGTGTTCACAAGGCATAGTGAAGATGTTATGTCTTAAATACAGTAGAAATTCTGGTGTTTCAATATTATCTGCATAATGAAATAATATTCTTTGTATATTTCAAGAAGATACAACTGTATATATGTATGTTGTTTTAATCTGCAGCAACATATGTCGATTGGAAAGATACAAACATTAACATTATTGACACGCCAGGTGAGTCTATCAACCATTTATTCCCTAACATCAAGATGTATATTCTCCTTACAGTTCTTTATGCATTTCTGAAGGTACTTTTCTGAACTTGTCACAGCTTTGTTACAGAGTATCCTACTGTAATCATAAAGGATTTACAGTTTGAATTGTCATCAAAAACTGATGAACACATAGTTATGATGTTTATGTGTGCGAAAAGTAAAAGCTCTTGTCAGCAACATACATGTACACCTGCGGTGAGGTGGAAATTTTAATGAGTCCATCTTCAAAGGTTCAAATGTGAGAGGGATTGCCAGTTAGGGGGAGAGGGGTTTTGAAGCTTGGACTTATGTGATGCTGAAAAACCAAATTATGAGATGAAAGGGAAAATTTCTCATTGATTTTTCAAGGGGTTTTTTTTTATTGTGGCGAAATAACAATACTACATTACCTTGCATTACTATGTTAAAAAAAGGAAAGAAAAAATTAAAAAAAAAAGGTTAAACAGTTTTTTTTTTAGTTTTAACTTAGGACAGCAAGGTGTAAGTAATTTATTTAGCACTGTCAGTATCTTTAGGTAGTGTAGTATTTCGATTTTGAATGGAAAAAAGTGCCTTCCCTTCTTCGAGCAGGTTTCCTAAAATTGTTAAGTGTGCAATTGTAGTCTGATCATTTATGCCTTATGGCACTTATTTCTAATTTGAATTTGTGTTGGAAAAATGACTACAGTCCAAGCACTGTGCTACTATTAAAAATAGTTTTGGATAATTGGTTATCAATGCAAATTTTTACATCAACACCTAAATTCCTTCAGAGAGGAGATCATATCTGGCCAAAATTTGAAAAACAAGTGAAGCCCTTGGGTTTTCTGAAAAAATCCCTGAGAATGATTGAAATGATAAGGTCTACAGAATAGGTGATTGGGGAAAGAATGTGGAAATTTTTTTTGTTATAAAAGAGTTAAAATTCTGGTCCTAAAGAAGGAACATGGTAAAAATTTATATAAATATAACAAATGAGAAACAGAACAAAATGTTTGCAAAAAATGACCTGAACAGTGTAGCATTAAACATGTCAACTGTGAGGCCACAATTGAATTCCTATGACTATGGATTGGATTGACACTGAAATTTTCAAGAGTTGACAAGAACAATGAAAAGATCATCCACTACATTTGAGAAGATGTTTGTTACATTTTCATCTGTTTTTTTTTTTTTTAACTATTAAATTTATATACTAATTTTTTTATATTTGAAATGACTTGGGGAGGTGAAAAAATTGGTTGTTTTTATAGCTTATTTTTATTCCACAATGTATATCAAAGGAACTTCCTATTAGAAAAAGTGAAAAATTATTTTCCCTAGAGCAAAGTTACAACACATTTCAGCCTTCACCCAGTTGTCAATTGGTTTGGAATCTGAGGTAAAAGGAGTCATTGACCTTGTGTGATGGAAGGCTTATTACTTTGAGGGAAATCATGAGTAAGGTTATTCATTCTCATGACTTATTTTATTTTTATTTAACTGTTTAGCCAATCACAAGGCTAGAAATTCAATAAAAAATCTAAAAATCTCCCAAAAAATTAAAATGAAGTATCTTAATTGGCTCTTTCATTTTTATACAACTATTGCTGATTTAAATTATTACCTAACAGGTCCAAAGTAGTAAAGGGTGTCATCCCAGAAGACATGATCAATGAGTGTACATCAAGAAGACAGGAGCTGATAGGTACATGTACAATCTGAGTATTCTTTTTTTTTTTCAAATCAGAGCTCTTTTTGTTTGAGTTATGATAATGGCCAATCAGAACAAAGTAAAATATCACAGGGAGCCAATGGGAACTCAACATGAAATGAAGTAAAATTAAGTGTCCGAAAATGCCAGTCATCAAGTCCTGGTTATTTGAAGTTTTGAACTTGATTGGATCAGAGCTCAAGAGAAAGGGGAAAATTTTTATGGGCAAATCTCCCATCAAATATCATTACGACATCAGGCAAACAAGAGATGAGAATAAAGAAAAATATCAATTTGGAGATTATTAGTTGATTCAATACAGAGTTCTCAAGTCTTAAGAATTGTCCATCATAAGAATTGTATGGCAAACAGTAACAAGAATTACTTATTAGATTTTGGCAGTCAGAGTGTTAAAGTGTTTAACACTTTAACTCCCAGATCAAATTTGTAATTCTCCTTACTGTCAGCTATACAATTCTTATAATGTTAGTTCAGAAAATTTAGTATTGGATCAACTAATTATCCCCAAATTGATATTTTCCTTTATTCTCATCACTATCTGCTTGATATTGTATTACAATTGTAAGGAGAAATTCTGTCTTGGTCACTCATGGGAGTGAAAGGGTTAAGTGAGAACTTCTCCAATGATTTAAGTAGGTTTTCACAGTCCCATCTGTGGATTCCATCAGTTACCTGTGAGAGACTATGGTAGAGAGTATGGTACAGATTTATGATTTTGTCATATTGAAACACAAATTTTTTTAACAGATCAATACATTTTAATATATTTCTTCTAAAACTGTATCAACAAATGCCAATTCATTTTTCAACAAGTTGTTACTACTATTTTTTACTTATGTAGTATTAGGTAGCCAGAGAAACACTACAGTCCCCTTTTTTTTACTAGAAGTTCAATGACAGTGTAATGCATATGCATACCATAGTTTTAGTACATTGTTGGGCTCAGGGCTCTCATTGATAACAGACAGCTTTTTGCATCTGAAGGGGCTATCCTGAGCGGTATAAATCAAGAAAGGTTCTTCTTCTTCTTCTTACAAAGAGTTTGCACCAATTTGCATGATGCTATTTTTACCTTCTGTTCAGTGCTGTTAGAAACTGTGGATAATGTGGATGACACTCTTGCGGAGATGTTTCTGGAAGAAATACCACCTACAGAGGAACAATTAATTGTAAGTATTGTGAAAATAGTAGGGCTGATCTGTGGATGGATTGATTGAGCTGTATATTCGACAGATTTCTTCTCTTTTTACGTTACGCTGAATTATATACGCATTTTGAGTGGTTCATGCCCATGATATATAGGAGAACAGACGCATAGATTAAATCACCGTCAACGACATTTTGCTTTTTTATCACATAACCCAAATACTGTTGATTCTAACAAGACCATTTGTTATTATCAACTGAGTTGATAACGTAAAATTGGCCGCTGTTAATAGTTTCAAAGCTGACGTTTCGAGCGTTAGTCCTTCGTCTGAGCGAATGACGAGGGGTTAACGCTCGAAACTTTGAAACTCTGACCGGTAGCCAATTTTACGTTATCAACTTTTGTCAGCTTTAAACTCTTGACGGTGGCCAATTCGCGTTATCAACCATTATCAACAGTTGATAATACCGAATTACCTTGTTATACTCTCCCACCGACGCAACACCACAGTTTCTTTCGAAACTTACGCTTACTAGCTTACCGGCTGGATAAACAGCTGTGAACAGAATGAATTTAAGCACAAGCTTTATTTCTTTGAACTTCGTTTTGTAGAATCCGACATAAACGCCTTGATGAAGATGGCTTTGCGCAACATGGCTTTCCTTCCTTTCGGATTCTTGATCAACCAATGGAGATGGAAAGTTTTTAGCGGTAAGATCACTGATGAGAGTTGCAATACCGCGTGGTGACAACTGAGGACTAAGTACCAGAGAATAGAACCTGCTGTGGAAAGGACAGAAAATTACTTTGATCCCGGATGCAAATATCACATTCCAGCTAATACACCATACATCAGGTGGGTAATGTACCCAGTGGGAAAGGAGTTTATTCTGTTCCCTTTCACAGTCGACTGCCGTGAGAAGGGAGGGAAGGCCGGAAGGGGGTTGGGGTCAGGAAGCCAATCTCCACCAAACATCTTTGCATGCATATTTGCATGCAGTTGTTTGGAAAACGTCAAATAACATATGAGTATAAACCACACCGGTGAATTGTGCTTTTCACGCGCGCTTATTGGCATGTTTGGAAGTGAATAGTAATTATTATTCACCTCCGAGCTGCTGAGACAAAATTTCGCGTCAAGAGTAAATTTCTGAGCATTTTCCGGTATATTGAAAGAAGTAAACTAATTTTCTTGTATCTGTGTGATATATGCTAATACAAATATTCATCCAAGTGTCGTTGAAAAGGATATATATTTTTCTCGCTGCTTCGCGGCTCGGTAAATATCCACCACTATTCACCTCCACTTCGGCGAATAAGTGTTAACAATTTCGCTATGTGCGATCCTGATGAAATGATTTATGAAATGATTTCGAGACCGTATATTTTAGTTTAACTGATTATATTTTCCGTACCAAAACGTGAGGGGAGGAGAGAAGGGCTTAAGCCTCTCTTCTGTGTCGCCTTTGTTACTTGAACCCTCGCTAACTCTAATCAAAATCGATTTCCCTCAGACTGGCGTCATTCATTTATTGTAATGTTAACCGCGGAACTCAAACCTTTAATAACTCGAACTCCCCCTAATTCGAAGGAATTCTCGTTTTCCCTCAGGTTGGTAAGTTTTTAAAAAGAGTTGCTCTTCATAGCTCGAACCATGTCATCACCGGAGCCTTGTTTTTGCGCGATGGAAATTTTGAGCTCATAAATTGCATGGTTTTTTATTAGACAATTATTTAATTTCTAATTATTTAATTAGACAGTTTGAGGGAATTGATAAACAACAACGAGGAAAGAATGAACTAAAAGGGAAACAAGGGTAACTGAGAATAAATTGTTTCCTTTTCCAGGCGTTCAATTAGTGAAACGTTGCCTGATAGTAAACGGCGCAGAAGAAGCAGCAGACTGAGAAAAGGAGAGAGGTATGGGTCTGGTATTACACCAATCTCCTTCATTAAATAATCGCACCTCGTTTTTCTGAAGAGAGACTTTAGCCCAAGAAACTGTGTTGGGTAGGGTGTTTTTCCGATGGATGTGTCACCAACCAAATTTAATTCCTTTTTTTATTTTTATTGCTCAGGTACTTTATAAGCTACGTGTTACAATTCCAGTTCCACAAGGCCGCTTGTGAGGCAGCCGGACATACGGGACCTTTGCATACCTGCTCCATCTACGAGTCTAAAGAAGCGGGAAAGAAGATCGGGTAAATATCGACAGAAGATGTTTTACTTTTTGCTGATATGCTTGTTCCTTCAGCTTTTGCTGAACCACTGTTGTACTGATAAAGTATGAAATATTTTAATTTCTTGTGATTGCGATACTTATGTCTCTAATTTTCTCCTGGATGTGCGAGAGCAATAGAAGGGGACTGAATCCGAATCAAATATAAATTTTGTGGTCGGCGCGCGATTTTAGAAAACGTACAGTATGCATAATATAATTCTTTTTCATTAATTTTCTTTTATCTAACTGTCTTACAGTCAGAGATCCGGCAAAAGTGAACTGCCGAGAATAACATGGAACCAAAAACTGAAAAAAAATTTTTGAAGCTGTTGATGAAACGTGCGCGCGCGCGTGATGTCATTAACCATTGAACTCTCATGAGTGTCAAAACAAAATTTCTCTTTCCAATAACAAGTAGACAAGTCATAAGGATAAAGAAAAGTTTCAGTTAGGGGATTATTAGGTGATCTCATTAAAAATTCTTCAACCTAAAATCATGAGAATTGTATTGGCAGACATTAAGGAGAATTAGTAATAAGATCTAAGGGTGGAGGGGTAACACAAAAAAAGATGAAGGGAGAAGGTGAATCCCACAGCGTGTCACGTCATCATGGTCCACGTGCCACGTGCCACGTGCCACGTGCGCTTAATCACGCGTCACGAATCTTTTTTTGAGAAGTGGTAAAAACACCGTTCCTTGGTAACAAATGAATCGTCATAGTAATGATTGGGGAGTTTAAAACTAGACAATGATTGGATATCGGGAAACTCTAATGAATTATATCTCATTTGTTCAAAAGTGTCTTCAGTGAAAGGAAATTAACCGCCTTGCGATGTTATTTGTCCGCCAAAAATTATTGCTCTGATGCGTCATCGTTGTTGTTGTTACTATTATTTAATTAATAACTTTAAATCTGAATTTCAGAGCTCGCGCGTGAAGAAAGCAATTAACGTTTCGTATTATCTCCTTCAATCTACAGGGATATGCTGAAGATGGGAAAAAGCAAGCCTTAACCGGATGCCCTCAAAAAGAGTTTCAAAGCTAAACTCTTTACGTCGGCAAATTTACGTTATCAACTCAGTTGATAATCCTAAATTGCTTCGTCATCTGATAGCTTTGTTGTTTGAATTTATAAGCTTAAAAAATGTGTCGTAATTTTTTAAACGTGACCGCGAGTGTAGGGAAACTGTCATTAATCCATTAATTGTGTGCTGAGCCACCTGGCCCTTTTGCTTCCTGGTTGCTGGCCTGTTTTGACCCTGGGCTCCCTGTCTCTGTTGATGGCCAGTGTCCTAGGAGTACGACTCGAATGTGTCGGCCGATACTTCTCATAATACACACAGTCGCTTGAAAAATGCAAAGCTTATAAAAGTGAAGAAGTTAACTTACGTTAATCAGCCATTACTTGCCTCCGTACTGTAAGTTAAAAATCGAGTTTCTTTCCGCTCGAATTCCTGGATCAAGTGCGCAGGCCATATACCTTAGAGAAAAAAACCAAGTTCCGTAACTTACAATAAGGACCGAGAAAACCAACTTTATTTATCCACCGTCAATCCTTCAGGAATTACAAGATTATGAATATAAATATACAAACTAACACAAGGTTACCTTATGTAACGTTTTTCTTCTACCTACACTAAAAGAATAAAATAAATAAATAACCTGATTTACAGGAATGCCGTGCTACAGATGATGTAGATAAATACGACACGTGTAACGCCACAACATGAATGCACCTTTAATCTGTTTTCCAGATAGACGAATATTTTGATGCAAGGATGTGTAAATGTGGTTCGACTGAAATAAATAAATAATACAAATATCTGTGTACAAATATAACAACAACAAGAATAACGACAGAGCTACATAACATAGAAACGAACTTACAATTTGTGGCATAACCAGGTACGGTAGTTAAGACTCTGGAACAAAAATAACACGGCGCTAGCAAAAACTGACGAAGCGACTGACCATAGAAATCAATTATCAATGAGAATTATCTCACGAAAACAACGCTTGTACTGACGAGAAATAAATCGCTACCGGCGTTACGTATTTCTGACACAATCTCGCGCAAAAACGCGAACTTATTTAAATAGAAACAACGTAATAGTGGTTCAATTGAAATAAAAACTAGAAAATCATTTCGCAGTTACTTGACAATAAATGAAAATGCAAATTCTAGTTGTTACAGATATGATAGATATGAGAAGAGGTTAGCAAGATATTTAATACGTCTAAGGAAATACACCAATTTGTTAAAACCGACTAATGGCAACTCCAAAACCCTCAAAAATAAAGGAGTAAAAATCGAAGTTAGCTTTCTGAACCTAAACTACGAGCAGACCCTCCATTTCGACGAAGTCCGTCGCGCGAGTCGGACTTCGCTGAAGAGGAGGAAATGTTCGAAGGTATTCTGAACCGACCTTCCTCATGGCTTCTGTCGTTTGTTTGTTTTTTTCCATCGAGCGTGTAGTGTATTGCGTTACCTAAGCGTTACTATAGTCACGCTATATCCTGTAAGACACGATCGGTACATGATTGTAAAAGTACATTCCTATGTAAAAGTAGTATTACTGATTCCTAGTACTGTATTGTGAATATAGCTTGTTGATTCTTTAATAAAATTCAGTTGAGCAATAGCAATGAAAGGAGTAACTTGACTGAGTCTAGACGACGCAACAGAGCGAGTTTGACAACCGACGTCAGTGAAGATGATGTGGCTATCCATCCCGTAACGGAGTTCAATAATGAAAGAAAGATGTAAATATTTTTCTGACGATTCAGTCACTTTTGACATGGATCTAACTGCATAATGTTAGTCTTTTTCAGGTTAAGAGTTCGATATTTCTTGCGTCACCATATATGCATTGTGCTCCACTGTGTTTGGTTTCTTTTCAACAGCTGCACATTTTGAAATTGTGTTCCCTCGACGGTTTGATATCGAGAAGCCTACACAAGAAGCCCCTGATTTATCCCGCTGCCGGACGCGCGTTTCTCAACCATTGGGAACACATGAGACGAGGCGGGGAGAGGTTTGCCGTGCAGACACTACTAGCATCCCTCGATTGATTATTTTCAAGGTCGGTTTATGGTTCACACCATTTTCAATTATGGAATGTCTCCTGGGAAAGAGTTGACCGCAATACTGAGTCTTCATCGTCTAGGGGAATGGGCACACCGGAATTAAAAATTGTGTCAGTCTTAGGTTTCGCTTTCGCAGGCAACAAAATGGCGTCAAAGAGGAAACTTGATGCCAACATCGTACCTTTTGACACATTTAGTCACCACTTCCTGTTACAAGAGGCTAAACATTTTCTGAGGGATAGCAAGTCTTTAGTCCGCCCGTGCACAAAGTATTGAATTTAGAGACGAAACATTGGTCTTAAGTTGAAATTTCATAATTTGGTCTTGTAGCAATGCAAGGTTGCTCTTATCTTCTGGAAAATCACGGAGAGCACCACAATATTATGGTAACCATCCAACTCCTGATAATAGTAAACGCATCTAAAATCTACAAAAACGGTTCAAAATGGTATCCTGCGTTTATCGAATTTCCGTTTGCAAAATTTTTACATTTAGACGCTGCAAATTCATATCTTTCTTCGCCGGCACAAGCTCAATTCCACTGTTTTTCATCTCTGTGTCACGTTTCACCACACAGTTGCTCAAAAATATTTGCATTGTAACGCAATGATCTTTGTTTACAGGGTTTTCTCCCGATTGCATCTGATAACAAAATTCCGTAAGTTTTCTGTCTCGGAACGAAAATAGCTCAGAACGCATTTTATGTGACCGCAAGTTTTTTTTTTTTTTTTAACTGATTGCAATTAAAGACATGCGGCAACGAATTCTACAAGTTTTCTTTTGTCAGAGTAGCACAGGATTATTTTCTTGCGCTTCTGATCGATTCAGCCGCACTGTCCAGTTCGTTTGGAGGTCCACGGTAAGTTAGAAATCGAGTTTCGTTCCACTCGGATTCCTGGATCAAGAGCGCAGGCTATAAATCCGAGAGGAAAAACAAGGTTCCATAACTTACAGAACAGACCGAGAAAACAAGTCAACTTTATTAAACCACAGTCAATCCTGCAGGAATTACAAGATTATGAATATAAATATACAAACTAACACTAGGTTACCTTATGCAACGTTTTACTTCAACCTACCCTAAAATAATGAAATAATAAATAACCTGATTTACTAGAATGCCGTGCTACGGATAATGTAAACAAATACTACACGTTTAGCGCCACAACATGAATGCACATTTAATCTGTTTTCCAGGTAAACGAATATTTAGATGTAAAAGATGTATAGATGTGTGAATGTGATTTGACTGAGAATAATTACTTAATACAATCATATCGAAAGCAACCAAATGCATTTCTCATCTAATGCACAGCACGATATCCCGAGGACTGAGGGTAAACAAACCTGATTGCACTACTGACCACAAAGAAAAATCAATGAATAAAAGATATTTTACATGGAGTTGGAATACCAAAATTACAACAAATACAAACAAGAAAGTGGTCACTGATATAGGACAAGGTGAGTATTGTTAAAAATACTCAAGAGACAATGAATATTTCGGAAAAAAACCAGAACCCCTTCTTTTCTATCTACTAGTTATGTGGTTGTTACAGAAGAAGGGAAATGTTTGTTTGTTGATAAAGTCGTAACAGAGAACACTGGACATCCTACGCAGCAAACGGTAAGATGTTCTTAAACAATTCAGTTTCCCGTGCTTTGCAAATATTTGAAGGGTAATAAACACCGATAGCCTCTATTTAGCGAAAAAATATGCTTATAAATTTATCCCTAGATATTATTTGATCCTCGAAGCTCACAGTTTTCCACGAGTTTGGCTCTCGGAGAACCCACAATTTCCAACAGATCGATAATATCCGTGCATATTTTCGCACCAAACGGGGCCTGGTGTTCATACAGTTATCTGTCAGTAAGCGTGACAAGTAGCT